CTATGGCGTTTGGAAGTTTCGTAATAATGCTACTTTTCGCAATGGAAAGGAAATCATGAGGGTATAATCCGTTATTTCCTTAATGATATCAAGAAGATAATTCTCTGTCACCACTTTCGTCTCTGTTTATTTGACTTTAAAAATTTGTGGAAAGCTCCAGCACTGTCAAGTAGACAATACCACTATTAAAATTCTCGGGTAAATAGTTGATAGTTGATTTAGTAACTAATTTAATAAATTGATTAATTCTTTAACAGTTAGTTCCTTTTAGGTTTCTTTAAATTATCCTTAGTAGCATAAGTACATTTAAATTTAGTTTATTAGTAGCATTAATACTGTATTCCTAGAACATTCCATTTATTGAATAGACCATTAGCATCCCTACATTAGTCAACACTAAATAGATAAATATTAGCTCTACCTCGTATTCTTTGATTATTAACTAGCCTATTAGCCGCACTTTACATTTATGGAATATTGATTGTAATCTCATTAGCATATCATATTAAAGACCATTATAGACTCTGAACTTTTCCGAAATGCTTAGTTAGCTGGGGCCACGCTCACGTGCGTTAGCACTTTTATTTCGTAACCTAGGTGGTTTGTATTGAATAAACCCTTTTCACAACTTAAAAAAAGGTCGAAATAGTGTGCGCCCTGTCTACAGTTAGATAGCTCTCGCTTGGCTTTGCCTTCAGGCTTGATCGACTTGGCTGCCTTGCTATTGAGCACTCTACACTGGGGTTGCCATGCGCTTAGCCCGTGTGCAAATTTCATCACCTTAGGTGTGATTTGAGCACTTTTGTATAGCAAGGCGTCTGAACTTGTTCCCAGCGGTGTAGCGCCCAGGCAACGGTATAAAGCTAGTCTTTATTCGAGAACTTGCCTCAGTGTCTCTGATCCACTGCACGGATGAGACCCATACAGGTCGAAACAGTGTGCGCCCATAAAGTCCCCCCTCTAATAATTCCATCCTTTGTGTCACTCGGCATTTCTCTTTTGATAATTATTTTGTTGGCTATAAAGATCAAGAGGCCTGATCTGTTCAAACAGAATCGTCGCAATGCATATGATCTTACGGTTCGTAATGTTGATTGCGTCGTGTGAGTCCATAACATTTTAAACCACTGGGATGACAAATATCGTTCACAATAAGAGTAAAGAGTACGCTCTCAATTTTTCTTTGCAATAGCAAAAGACAAAAATGAAAATATCTAAACTAAACAAAACACCAAAATACGAAAGAAAAAACAACAAATAAACAAATCGTTTATTATTTCATAAGTATTTTCTAAATTGTGAAAACTGTCCGTATATGTACTGTACATTCGGAGCACGTTTTCTGCCCTTAGAGCGCAATGGGTGATGTTATTTGTATTTTTTAAAAAGCTGTTTGCATTTGAATTTTGTAAAAGAATGCAAGGATTTTTAAGAAAGAATACGATGAATTTGTAACGAATTTTATGTGGAAATGCAAACAAAATAACTTAATTAAAGAATGTTATAGAATAATTTCTTGCAATTGTGTTGTATGTTTATTACGTGTATCTGTTCGCTTTCTTAGCCTTTTATCCTTAACTTGAGTATCTGTAAGTTGATTAAAATATCAAATTTCAAGTATCCATAAATCCCAGGAAACTGGTTTAAAATCCTCAGCTTTTCGTTTACTCACAATCGTGCAAGAACGGTTTTGGTCGTTAAAGCTATTATACAATTATCAACAGCCAGAGGGAAATAAGATATAGACTGTGGCGGGCTTGAATATAAGTTTATTATGGATAATAACAGTTACTATTATACCGGTTATAGGAGTCGCTCCTGTGTAAGAATATTTTAAGTTGTTTAACAACGTAGTTGAGTTCATAGGATTGTAGTGTTTTTCTTTTGGTTGAATTTTTCCGTAACAGTTCCCATTCAACCAATTGCTGGTCTCTTTCGCAGCCGATCGCCTTGGTTACACTCCTCCTTGCGTGAAGAGCCGTAATTAAATAGGGCCGCATGTAAGAGAAAGACGACCTTTTAATTCTAGCGATTGCTGACTGACTTTCCAAACTACAAAATAAGGGATAAGCAGTATATATATCATATTAACAAGCGCGAGGGCTGTACTGGGAGAATATCGGCCCGAGGTCTTGACAGTACGGACCGAGCGCAGGGAGGTCCGTACAAAAAAGACCGAAGGCCGATATTCTTCCAGTACGGTCCCGAGCAAGCTTGGTTAATAAGAGATTTATTATAGGACTGAACTTCAACGGGACACAAGTGCGGTATCATTCGGGACCATTCGGGACAGTGCCCGGTCCAATGCTGTGAGAATATTGACCGGCAATAGAGCATTTTGATTGGTTGATTTTAGTTATTGGCCCTCTGACTGCCCGAGTCGTGTAATAAATGTGTGCTATTAACCAAGCCTGAAGTCAAGATGGCTGGATATTGGCCGAGCTCTTTCTTTGTGATTCTATAGGCAGAGAAGAATATTCTTAGGTGGACATATCAAACTTACCTTTAACATCTGCCTCTACAGACTTTCGTGACATGTCACGCAGTCCGGGGTTAGTCAAAACCACACTAATTTTCGAGCATTTTCTTCGTTTTCGCGTATTCCCTTTGAATCGCTATCTTTCTTACCTTCAGTTTATAAAACTATCGTATATAAGCTTTCTATAACACTGTATTTGAAGGTAATCATGACAACATTTCGTTCGGGTTTTTTAAACTTTTGGTTAGCAATTCAGACATTTCGAAGAGGGGTTTATGCCAGATGCAAGCACTGGCCATAGAGTCTGGGGCTAGAACTCTAAAGCGCATGCACAGAACTGGTCATTACCGCGAAATATGAAAAGAAGAATAAATTTGGCGCAATTTGATGTATAATACATGAGGTTTGGATATTGTTTGGGTTCGGGAAATGGGACTCGAAGTTTACGCACTGGTGATTTTGTCCTCGCTGGCTCTTCTCGCGGTGGCCGTAGATGCACAAAACGATTTTGGTGAAGAATCAAGTGGTCCGAAAGGGGAAAAATT